CAGCAGTCCTCGGCCCGGGCCGCCGGGGACTCCGCTGCTTCGCGAGCGGTGGCTAACGCGAGGACGGGCTGCCGCTTTATCTCCGTGGCAGAGCCGGTCCTGCTCCTTTGGTTGTCTGCTTTTCCGGCTGCTGTAATCAGGATTATGCTAGGTGGCCTGACATGTCAACTCTTGTCCCGGGTCGCTCCTCTTTCCCAAGTTGCTAGAAGTGTCCTTTGGTATCTATTAGTGATTGTACTCTAAGCTTACCTTCGATATACTGCCTTGTCTTCTTACAGCTCAGTAATGCTGGGAGAAGGACCATTCTGTGTAGTTTAGGGGGTGAAGTGTAGCCCTGCTGCCTGACTGCTGCACAAATTGCTGTTGTATACTAATATGCCGTGAAGATCTTATGTCTCAACACTGCAAAAACATACAAGAGTCAACATTGTGCTACTTTTTTTTATTTTAATAGGTAATAATCTTTTGGGCTCTACCTGTTTAAACAGTCACCTTTTCTACTTGTGTATTTATTTAGGTACAAGTTTTTTAGTTGTGAATAGGAGTAGGGAACCATGGAAATCCTGACTCATATGCCCCGCCCTGGAAAAGCATAATTGAGGTGGAAGACTACTCTGGAATGCCTAACTCTAGTAGTGGATAAGTATTCCTTGTCAAAGGAGCTGAGAAGTTCACCAAAGAACAACCTGGAGCAGTTTTTTTTTTTTTTTTCCTTCCACTTTGGTCTGGAAAAGAACCTACCTACCACTGTGTGGGAGCTCTGCAACCTGGCTGAAAGTATTTGTTGAGCAATGTTAATAGCACCCAACCTAGTTTAGCAACCTTTCTAGTAGCATGTGTTGAATTGGACTTGACTTCGTACCCTTCATGAGGACAAGGTGTGATCTCCTGTCTGCTCAAGTGTATTCGTGTTTGTAGAGTGCTGCGTGGGCCTATTCCAGGAAACAAAGACATAAGGAAAGCTAAACATCTTGATACTCATAAATAAAAAGTACTATACACTGCACTATTTCTCTTCACTGCAGAAATCTTGATCCATACAGAGAATAAATGCATAAGCTGTTTTATCATCCTTTTAAATCTCCCTCAGAGGTGGGGTTTTTGTATTTGGGGAGTGAATAGTGAAGAGGGATCTTCAGATAACTGAACTGCTATGGTTTAAAGAACAGGCTGTTTTCTTATCTCTTGCATTGCTTTTTCAACTTGAAGAGAAAAGACTGTCTTGAAAGGTAGTTTTCTGGAATGCCCAGTTGAGGTGAGGCATATGAGGGACCTCAATACTGCTTATGCAGTGTTCTGCCTCAGTTAGCAGCAACGAAAGCATCCTGATTCTCACTACACCAGGCATCAGAACCATGAATTCTTAGCAGGTTCTTCAGCGCTTGGTTAGTTTGGTGTTATCAGTTTCATACCAGTTGATGGAAGAGACTGATTTTTGCAGCTTTATACTGTACCTTGCAAACCACTACATAGATTTAAGATCACGTTTATGGGTTTCCTGATTAAAAAGTGTGCTGTTAGGTATTCATCAATCATCAGCTGCTAGAAGGAGTAAGTAAGGCTTGTGTAGAAGTCTTCCTGCCTTAAGATGTCACTCATCACTGAAAAAGAAGAAACAGATGGATTGTTACAGATGTTGGTTTTAATGGCCACAGCTGTGCAAAAAGAATAGCAAGACCCTCTCCTTGACAAGCAGTGTTACATTGTAGCATAAACAAACATTTGGTAATGAAAAAAGGTCCCAATGTTAATAGAAAACTCATGAGGCTTTCTCCATACTGAAGTTCAGGCATGAAAAATACATATATCTTTTTCTCCTCTGTAAACAGCCGAAGGCTTTTCTTGTGTGTGGTCAGAACAGTTTACTTGTGCTGAAACTTTCATGAACAAAGAGCCCTTTTTGAAGTTACTGAGATCTCTGTGAGGATCCTGTGCAGATGGTGTTCTCAGCAACAAAGCAATGGATCTTTAACTCTCGTGATTATGAAATTGTTGAAAAGCATTTATGAGGTCTCGTGATTATGAAATTGTTGAAAAGCATTTATGAGGAAGCTTAAATTTAAGTTTGAGTAACTTAGCAAGGTGATTTGGGAAGGAGACTTCTGTTAAATTAATTGTGATATTGAGTGTTAAGTAAATGCTTCAGGCATGCTGGCTGAAGACCATAAGAGAGTTGTTAGATGAATTTTGATTCTATGAAATTACTTTGTATTTTGAAAGGAGATATCTCAAACTTAACATATGCCCAAATTTATCTCTATGAGCATATGTTGCAGAAGTTTTTCAGCAGTACTTGCTATAGACTAGATGATTTGGGAAATTAGTACCTGGGAATCTGTGTGTGTGTGTGGTTTTTTGTGTGTTTTTTTTTTTTTTTAAGAACTTGCAACTTTTTTAAAGACTTTCTCCAATTAAAAGGACTTTCTCTGGTGAAGGAAAAAGGAGTTTGAGAACACAGGCTTTACCTATCAGAATATATTTGTAGCAAGATTTGTACAGAAATTTTACTATTTTTAGGTATTTTTAGCAAATAGTAATGGAAATTCATAAGTTCTTGAATGAAAGATTGTTCTCCTCTTTTAAGCCTGTTCTATTTCTTTACATTTATTCCAGCTATTTGTTGTATTTTGAGTTACTATTGCGTGTTTTTCAACAGTGTATAACTCTCAATACAATATATGAATAAAATTAATGAAAATTATTAGTGGCTTTTTCTGTGATATGTACTCACAGCCAGAATGTGTTTGAACTGCTCTTTTTTGTTTGTTTTGTTTTGTTTAGTACTATGGCAGTGCAAGATTATAGTATGTTAAAGAGGACTCCTTGCATCTCTCCTTCCTGGCTGGAGAAAAGCGGAACCTAAGAATCTCTGAAAGTTGTTGTTATTTTTTAACACTTTGACCTGTATTAAAGGCAGGCTACAAATAAAAATATACAGATGTTTTCCTTTCATGAGGAAGAGCACATGAAAGAACAGAAATTGAAGCCTGTCCTATCATACCATAACTGTGTCACCAAAGCCACAGAGTTACGCCTGGAAGCTAAAACGTCATAATTTGAGATTTAAAACGATGTTGTTGGCATTACATTAAAACTGAAATAACCTTTTCAATGTACATCTTACGGTATAATTTTATTCTATAATTTTGAATACTTCGTGGTGATGACCAACACGCTTTGTATGTCTGTTGTTTATCTTCCAGTAGTTTTGAAATCAAATGGCTTTTGGCAAGGCATAAAAAGCTATTATCTTTCTCTTCCTTTTTCTCTAAGATCTTAGTGGCTCCATAACAACTCCAGATGTTAAGCTAAATCTTGGAGGAGGAGGAGAATTCATCAAAGAATCTACTGCAACGACATTCCTGAGACAGAGAGGGTATGGCTGGCTTCTGGAAGTAGAAGATGATGACCCAGAAGATAACAAACCACTCCTGTATGTTGTGATTATTTTTGATTATCCATCCTTATTAGTTGTTCAGGAAAAACAAACAGCTCCTAAACTCTCAAACTGTCCCACAGTCTCTTGCTGTGACTAGAATTCTATTTGACAAATGACTTGACAAATGACTCTATTCTCTGGTGTAGGAATGAAGGTGTTTTTCATTATGGATTTTATTTTTATTGTAAAAGAGAGGCTTGTTACACACTGTGGAGAAGGAATGAAAGTGGAGGAAATAACCTCCAGATTTTACTAATTTAGGCATAAAAATTTAGACTAATTGCTTTTCTGCTGTTATCTCTTGATCTTATTTTTTTAAATTAGATTATAGTCTTTCTTTCTTTTGTGGTGATGGTGTAAGTTTCTTAGTGCTGTTAGTGAATCAGAGGTTAAGACAATCATGAGGAAAGTTTTGTGTTAAGTGAATCAATGTTAAACGAATTCTGTAAGTTGCTCTGTTGCATTGTGAATCCTGGTTGTCATACAATTGTAAGAAGTAAGGGGGTGCAAACTTTATAGTCTTTGATGCTATGTTTTATTATAAAGCTGTACTAGAGGGGGTTAGTGTTGAAGGACAAAAGTATCTGTAACGTTGAAAATACATGCTTCCCCTGCTCACATAAACATAATTGAGGGAAGAAAGTTTCTATCTTAAGGTTTCTACACTGTGAAGCAGGCAGCCAGGGTTTTAGTCCTTGTTCTGCAGCTAAGTGACTTAGAGCCTCCATGTTTTCCTTTGTTAATGGAAGAGAATGGTGCCTTGAAAAGCAGAGTGAGCAGGAAAGTGCTCTGAAGTGTTCAAATGAAAGTGCTGGGAGATCACAGATGTCTGAAGAGCTTAATACTGAAACTGCTACTTGAAAGGTGCTATAACTTATAATGTGCAGAAGTAGCACCTGTGTGAGTAAGTCTATTCTGTACAGATGTAACTTTTAATTAAGAAATAGAATGGTGTGTTGGGTGACGATATACCAGTTCCTTCTTTTGTAAATAGAATTGTATACTACAACACCAAGCCTGTGATTCAAGGGCAGTTATGTCCTAAGCTGGCTGGTTGTTGGAAGCAGGGAGGACAAGACAGGAAAAGGATAATTTTGTAGGGAGTAGGATGAATATAATGGTCCTAAAAGAGAACCTTAATTTGACTTCATGTAGCAGTTCCTTTGCGGTTCTGATTTTTCCCAGATCACGTGTTGTAACAAAGCCTTGTAATCTGAATACTTCTACAGTTTTAAAGAACAGCAAGCAGCTAAGAAAAGTTCACCGATGTGGTGCTACCATTGCAAGTGTTTTGTTCAATAGAGTGAGATTTTTCTTCTTTATTGGGCAACCTCCTTGTGATGCTTGTCTCCTGTAACAGCTACTGCCTGTTCTTAAGTGAGATAACTGTAAGTTTTGTGAGAAAGACAGTTTTTTCTTATGAGAAACTATCAGAAGCCCTAGGCAATGACAAAAAACTAATCCCAGAAAGGAAAACTGTTACACAGCTTTCATAATGAAATATAAAAACAGTGCTTACTGACTGTTCAAATGGATGGAGGGAAAACAGATGCTTTTAGTGTACTCCTTAGATTCAGGAATGTATCAAAGAACTTTGTTGTTGTTATTGTTATTATTTAGGAACAGGTTAGTAATAGCAATGCAGAAATAGCTTCAGTTATAGCAATCCTGAACATTCTTCCAGAGACTCAACAAGCAGTATTTCATTTTTGAAAGAGAAATTGTGATGAATCATGTTTTTACTGCATTTATTTCTTGCTTGAACTTTTCTGAGAAAAAGCCATAAATCAGTCTAGTACAGAACTCAAGTATACAGGTCCACTTTTCCAGCTGTGTTAGAGATGTTCATAAATGTAGAGCAGAGGGAAACCTGCCAGAAATCTCTTGCAGCTGTTCAGAGCTTTTCAGTCATTACTGCATAGGAACAACTGTAATTTAGAGTTCTCTCTTAATGTTCCACAGTTATAACCACTTCTTTAAGTGATGTAAGTTAATGGAATTGCCTGTTACTTGGGAAGTCTGCTTCCTTCCCCTTATTAGCATAAGGGGAACAGTCAGGGCAAGAGTTAGGCCAGTTAAGAGCCTCCCATGTAGGAAGAGTCTTCTGGTCAATTTGTAGCTGCCTATGGATAGTTTGTAGCCGAGGACTGGAAAAAACAATTGAGAGATGCAAGATGCAAGATCTGTTATTAAATTTATTACTGGTTTAATCAGCTTTTATTTATTCTTATCCGTACTGCAGACAAGCCAGTAATTAAACAATTGGCATAAATTGGGTATGATGAAAACTGCTGTTGTTGAAGCAAGTGAAACCTCATCTTAATTAAAAAATTGCTTTGACCTACTGAAACATATTTTGAATGTTTTAGGATTGCTGAATGTAAGAATGTTCGTTCTTGTAGAATTTGAAATGTGTTTCCATAACAAGTGTGCTCATGGCACACTGTTGAACACAGGAATACACATAGACATCTTACTTTAGTGTATTCATATATTTGTGACTCGTGAATATTTACAATGGTATGAATGTACCATGTGTGTTCCTGCATGTCAGGAAATGGATCTACTTTCTTAATATCGGGTGTTAGGATGTGCTGTAAATATTTTCTCAGCACATAGAATTCTCAGTCATAGAATTTATTTTGGTATAATTAAGTATAACTGTCTGTGGCATAAAGGTTACTGAATGCATGATGTTGCTATATCTTGGAAGAACTGTTCCTTTACTAGTCATGGCTTCAGAAAGCCTTACTGTGATATTGTTCTACCCACCTGCTGTTTGCCCCTAAACATATATGTTTTTGTGATCCGCTTCATTACTGCGGCGTGTAGTAATGCTCCCTTGCCTTACAATTTCAGGGAAGAACTGGATATTGATCTGAAGGATATTTACTACAAAATTCGATGTGTGTTGATGCCTATGCCATCTCTTGGGTTTAACAGACAGGTAGTGAGAGACAATCCAGATTTTTGGGGACCTCTGGCAGTTGTCCTCTTCTTTTCAATGATTTCGCTATATGGACAATTCAAGGTAGGTATAAGCCTTTTACCTAAAAAGAAGTCTAATTGAAATTTGAAGACATGATTGTTAAATAATTTGTATTCTTACATAAGTAGAAAGTCCTTTCTTCACATACTGATGTGGGGTCTTCCAAATACATTTCTTAACTGCTGTCTTTCTGTGTGTTAACTTAAAAAGCTGTATTCAGTTGCCTGTGGATAACGTTCATCATGATGAAATGCCTTTTTGTAATAGTAAAACAAAGGAAAAGAGGTTGTTCCTGGAGGAAATGGATTAATACTAATATGATTATAGTCATATTAGTGACTCTGGTCATTTTAATTGTGACCTTTTTGAACTTGCTTTTTTAGTACTAAAAATTTTACCAAAGAACATTTGTGTGGATGCCATGAGTTTTAATTACCTGACAAAGCCATTTGTCTAACTCATGCTCTGTCACAACTGTTATCTGGTACGTTTTATCTTCGTTAGTGTTTTGTGCTCTTTTGTCCTCCCTATTCAATTACAATCATATAACTTTCCTCTGGTCAATAGAATTTTTCCATAATTCCTTTTAACTCTAGAGTGAGTAACTAATTAGAGGCATTGTGCAGATTTAATTGGCCTCCATAAACATTTAGATTTTTGTTTTTAATTTACTTTCACATGGAGACAGAGAAGTAGTATCATGCATAGTCACAGTTTGAATGTGTGCTTAGGCCATCTTTTGGCAATAGTTAATTGCATCTTGTTTCATAAATCTTTATGGCTTATATATATAGTTTTAAATACAGCGTAGCATAGCAGTAAGTCGTATATGTAAAGCAGCAGAATATGCTTATGCTAGAATTTTTGTGACTGTTGAGATACAATCATTCCGTTTGTGACTCCTAGCTACCATATGGTGTACCAAATGCTGACTAAGAATTCATTCTAATATCTTGTTTCTCTTAGACTTAAAATGAGTAGACTAAAGCTCTGTATTGTTCAGGTCTTCTGAGTGGGCCACTTAGCTGCCTCCCAGGCAAAGCAAGGACTATTCCTTGATCCTGTGATAGATCAGCCATACGTGAGTGGTAGATCTAATGTGGATTTATCTTATGGGGTAGGAGTGCTATATATATGTGAGGAGGAAGTAGTGAAAACTGGTAGCGAGCAACAAGGTGAATGACAGCAGCTTGACTAGATAAACTGGATGATGGGCTGTATGCAGGAGAGAGATGAGCATCCCTGCTCTAACACATTCGTTTGGTTCTCTTTTACATAGCAGAGGACAGTAGGAAGTAGAAGGAGGCCATACCCTATTTTCACAAATAGCATAAAGCTTCTTTATTTATTTTTTGAAGTAGTGCTGTGATTTTTGACTGTAAAGAAGAAAATCATCCCCTATTTGATTGTTGTATGAATCTAGAACTTTTAATTAAGCTAGAAAGTTGAACTGAGTACTAATCTTCATTTTAAGTGCAGCCATTGTACACTTAGAAGTACGAAGACTTGACTGAGATTGTCGTTTCTCTCTGAAAAGATTATTTCAAAAGGGAGAGTACCACTTCTAACCTCCTAGTGGCTCAAATCCAAGAACAGTTAAGTTACTTTGAAGGTTCTGTTAAACCGGGGAATGATTTTAAGATTTCTTATTCTGTTTAAGAATAGAGCAATGAAAAAAATAAAGGGGAAACTACCAACTTTGGCCCCGGAGTCTGAGGTTGCTTCCTAAATTATCATCATCAAATGATATTGCAAGTTAAAGTCCTGTCTCCACTTTCAAGCATTTTCTGTTTGAGTAAAGAATAAAATGCTGTGTCTCAGATGAAAAAGCAGAATTCCAACTCTTTCTTGGTTTGGGTTGACCTTAAAACCTGTCTGAGCCCTTTTTTTTTTTTTTTTTTTTTTGGAGTAGGCAGGATGTGAAAAGATCCTGGCTTCTGTTTAGTGGAATGAAATGTTGTTTTTTCACGCTATAAAACCTTAGTCTCAGCTGAGCTATTGTATTAGCTAAGATTTAACTGGGGTGATCTTAGCCTCTATGTTTAGCTAACCTCTTCCGTGATACAGAACTACGATACTGATGAAAGTCTAACGTTTTTTTCCTCTAAGCATTCCGTGTTCACCAAACTTCTCATTAATGTGACTCTCTAACTTCTGAATTTTGTTCTTGATCTCGATTGTAATACTGAGTAAAACTGTATATATTTGCTGCAATTCAGAATTCATTTTTGCATAATAAAATCCCTGACTGCAGTGAAAATGATTAATTTAAATGAATTATTCTCTGTCTTTTAAGGTTGTTTCTTGGATTATAACTATTTGGATATTTGGATCCTTGACAATTTTTTTACTGGCCAGGGTTCTTGGAGGAGAAGTAAGTAGCTATATGTGAAAATGAGGGAGGGGGAGATAATTAAAATATCTCTTGGCTACTCTTTTTCAGCAGTTATTGGGTTGTCTCCGTACCTGACTTTGGACACTGTAGCCAATTAAGAACAGATGGAGTTGAGAACTTGGATGCTACTGTAATGCCTCTATCTTAGTTTCTGGGCCTGCAAAGCACAATCTAAAAGACGAGTTGTCCATCTCTGTATTTCTGTATGGTACATAGAGTGCTGGATGTGATTAAACACTATGGAAATTCGTACCCTGAGTCCCAGAAATTCTGACAAACACCTGTGATCCAGAGCTGAATTCCTCTCCTGAGAAGTGCCTTCAATTTTTCAATCACTGAGCTAAATTGGACCCTTTTTCCTTGCCCATGCAGCCCTTCCTCCTTTTTTTTTTTTTAAAATGAGGCTGATATGATAGCATTGATGTGACAGTCTTTTGGGTAGAGCACCTACCAGCATTTGTTTTCCTCCTTGGACTGGTGCAATGTAAACCCACTACAGAATGAAACTCGGTCCATGTTCTTCAACTGTGAAGCCAGTTGCAGTTCTGGCCTATATGCTTCCCTCTAGCAGCTTGCATCAGCACAACTGCTGGTTGAAATAGCAATATAAATTGAGTCACCAAGTGTTTCGGGTATAAACAACAGAAAATGGCTTACAGCTGGACCCATGAACAGCTACACAGGTGCAGTCAGTAGGGTAGAAACTTCTTAAATTGGCTCTGCAGCTTTAAAAATGCATTGAACTGTGTTTTGAAGAACTAAATATTTAATGCTATTTTTATCTTTTTACTGTATGTTTTGCATCAAGGATGAACTAGTGTTGCAGACTTCCTACATTATTCACATTTAGCTTAAATTTTTTTTAGATTTTCCTTGTGCTTATATTTGCTAGTGACTTTTTTGTGAAAACTGCTCTGAAAAAAAAAAACTTTCATAAATGCGATTGCATTGGACTTCCACATATCAGCATAATCCAGATGCCCTTAAATCAATCTGTTTTGTTGCTCAAAATGTGAGCCTGTTGGAGTATATAAAATGCGGAGAAGGAGAGGGATCATTATAGATCTGCACAGCTTACTGTGAAGGATCTGCTGCTTGAAAGACAGTCACTTGTCTGACCAATATTTTTCCTCACTTAAATCCAAGGAGCCTAGCAAGGCCAAAGAACATTTCAGGTTGCAGAAGGGGAAAATCAGACATTTTAAGCCCCGTTAAGCTAAAGGTAGTTATGGTAATACTTCAAACAAACATGTTTAAGATAGCCATAATAAATTTAGACTGGAAATCAGATCTCTCTTCCCCGCTAGAGAAATCAGATTCTGGAGTAGTCTTCCATTGAGGCCAAAAACATTAAGGTACATTAAAGTACGTGTTCATTTGTTCATGCATGGAATTATTTTTGTGCTGCCTATGACAGCCAGGCCTACAGCTAATGACTGAGAGATCTGTTCTTGTTCTATCAATCACACACTCCCTGGGGAGTGGCAGCTGAGCTCCACTTAAGGTGGAGCATGGAAATGTAGGGTGTGTGTGTGGAATTACATATTTTTAACCTGTCAATGTAAATACTTCCCTTGGAAACGTTAACATTGTCATTTACAGTCTGAAAAATGTATGTGTGATTCAAGCTTCTAAGAGAACTGAATGATTCATTACAAAATTCTTGGGCGATAGTGTACAAAAACGAATTTTCACATTAACGAACTCCTTCAGCCAGTATTTCATGAATACCCAGCACACTGTTAGTATGGCTGTTTCATTCTGTCATAACAAGATCAAACTGTATTTGGTGAGAGTGATTAGTATTACAAAGTCTGTTTTTTATGTGCTTGAAAATTTCAGGTGGCTTACGGCCAAGTTCTTGGTGTGATAGGATATTCCCTACTTCCCCTCATTGTCATAGCACCTGTACTTTTGGTGGTTGGATCATTTGAAGTTGTTTCTACACTAATAAAAGTAAGTTCAGTAACATCTACTGAGAGCTTACAATTATTTTTAAGTCACTGTCTTAACACTTCAAGTATTAGTCTGTTCAGGACAATATAGCTATCTGTCAGAAAATTCAGAAATATAACTAGAACTCCTGTGATCCTTTTAGCTAGCATGATGGATAAGACTGCAAAGCAAATTCTGTTTTAAATATTTCTTTTGAATACTTTACTTATGGATGTATGGTCTTGTTGCTATAAAACCATCTGTTGTTAATCAGGTTAGTTTCTGTTTAAGTGTTTTGCTGTGTTATAGTACTTGCATTAAAAAATAAATAGGATTATCATTTGTAGACGAGGATGTGTACTTAAATATCAAAATGAATAGTCTGGAAGTAAGCTGTTCTATCCGTTCCCCTATCATCCAGTTTATTTTTAGTTATTGCAGCATGAATAATATGACATTAATCATTGTTCTGAGACCTTCCTGTAATGGTAACAGTAGAAAGCGCTCAACACGCTTTTCTGAGAAGGTAGGTATTGTTCTGATTTTATGGATGTGGAATGTAAGGCACAAAGCGAGAATAACTTGCTTGATACCACCTGCTGTTGGACATCTTTTATGGAACTAGCAATGTTCCCTGAGACATCTTGGAGCTACGTAAGGCTCCTTTAACACTTCCAGTATTTCATACAACCTTTTATGTAGCCCTTGAAATTATTGCTGAATTTCTGGAAAGGTTCACTGAGAAAATTCTGTTACTGGCTAACCAATGAACTTTTGGGGTTCCTTGTTCTGTTGATTTGATTAATTTCTTTACTGTTGACTCACTAGTGAATAGTTTAATTGAAGTGCAATTTAAGTGTACGTAAAACAAGAATAAGAAAATTGTCGTGTTTGTGATTCGATAACTTGTAATTACTATTAAGTGATACAATCGGAAAGCAGATTACTAACTTGGCACTTAACTAATGCATAACTTAAAATAAACAATAGATTAAGGAAATCTCAGTTACCTGATTATTGCTCTCAGTCTTGCATTAAATTCAGGGCAAATCTGTGTAAGGTTCTTACCTTTGATTCATTAGTGTGGAAATGCAGGTTATGCCCCATATAGCCAAACTACTTTTCCTGTGACAAGTATTACTTCTGTCTTGGCTTGGGAGCTCTGCACTGGGGGAAATATTTTGCAGCCCTAAAGTTGAGGAACTTACAGTGAAATAGTGAAATTCCAGTCAGTTCTTTTCCAGTTGCAGTCAGCAAAACCTTTCAGGTAATGTACCTCCATTGTTTTTATTGCCGCAGTTCTACTAATGTATTTTAGGGAATCCAATCATGATATTGATTCTCCTTCCTATCTGTCTCTGCAGTCCCAGTTTAGGGAGCAAAAGCAGAAGTATGCAATTAATTTTTCAAAACGATGCCAGTTGAGGATTTTATAGGTGTCTCTACAGTTCTAACCACATTAAAGCAAAATGTTTAAGCAGTTCCATTTACTCCGATTCGAAGTTGTTTGGCCTTTCTTTGCCATTAATAATAGCTTAAAATTTCTACTCTTTTTAGTTATTTCATGTATAAAACTACCAATTTATTTAAATGAAAATTATTTTAAATTTGCATAGATTTGGTAATGAATCAAGATATCAGAAAAGGTAAAATTATCTTGCAAAGATCACACTTGTACATGAAGACTATCATCTTTGCCAGTGTAAAATCACTAAGGTACGAACTTATTTTCACAGATTGATCAAAATAAAGTGGTTTTCAATAGCTGTGCTGAAGTAACTCTCTGCAGCAGCTGCCTGTGTAGATTAAAAACACTCACATAAAACCATCCTTCAAGAGACTGGAGCTGCTCTGACAAAACTGTGGAAAGTTCTTTGCTCAGGTCTTGGTATGTCTGCCCTTTACTGAACAGATCCTTGGGCCTGCTGTTTGTAGATTATGATCCTTTAGCATACCATTCATACCATTCTAAGTATTTTTACTATTTTTATTAGCATTCAAGTTGCTGCTAGAGGATGTTAAATGTCCAGTAACTATATATTTTGCTATAACCTTGTCTGAAGTTTGGGTCAAGTTCATTGGTCTCAGACGTTTAAACAGTATGTGTACTAACTTCATATAACATATTGGATATTCATAGGTAATGTTACTTTCTACCAGTCTTTCAAATTGGTTATTTCTTGATTTAGCAACTAAGATTTTTATATCCAAAGCAGGACAATTCAGACTTGAGGAGGTTTAGTTTCCTGAGTGGGTCATGTATTAGAATAAGGGCATGGAGCTTTTGTAAGTAATGCGGTGTTTGATACAGACTGCGTTTTTTGAGGCTTCTCATTGTGCGTGAAAGGAACAGCAGTGTGAGTTTCAGACAACTTGAGGTGGGGCACCGTAGTTGAAGTAAAGCTTTTGAGCCAAACTAATCCTGAAGTAAAAAATAGTAATTTAACCCTCTTGTATAAATTATAGGAGTCGTCGTCAAGTATAGCAATTGTTTTGTTTAAGGCAAAATTGTGTTACTATTTGAGGTGAAGAAAGGGAGGGGTTAATAGCTGAGGACAGTAAAGGTAGAATGAAAAGTTGTTCATTCGGTGAAGTTTCAGTCTTATCTGTGTGTGTAAGCTTACAGCTTGCTTTATGGTATCTACATATTTTAAATTTGGGTAAACTTACTTTAGATCCTTAGCTGCTTGCTTTAGTATAAATGTTGTCTCAAACCAAAATAAGATGCCTATTTGTCAAATACTTCTCTAAAGTTAAATGAAAATGCATGGTGGTATCTTTTTTTTTCTTCTGGAAATCCTAGGCTTCTTTCTAATTATTTTGAGAGAATTACTGATTTTTTTTTTTTTTTAAATGGTGGTAGTTTGAGCCATTTTCCTGTAATGGCAGCTAACACTGTTCATCTTCTCTTTTTCAGTTATTTGGAGTCTTTTGGGCTGCATACAGTGCTGCATCGTTACTAGTTGGAGAAGAATTCAAGACTAAGAAACCCCTTCTAATTTATCCAATCTTTTTACTTTACATTTATTTTCTGTCTTTGTACACTGGGGTGTGATCTAATGTAAGAACGTGGCCAGAAACCGTGTTTTATTTCACTTGCAGACTGATAATGCATAAGACTAAGAAGGCTGGAGATAGTACAAGTGACTGTTTTGTATCCAGTTGTCAAGATGTTTTAAGATCGAAAACATATTTGTGTATATTATTTAATGAAGCAATTGTAGCTATATAGATTTGTATCAAAGTTCTAGGTTTGTTTAAGACTCTCTTCAGATTTTAATGAACAAAATACAAGAATCTTGTGTTTTATAACAAAGTGTAGCAAAAATACAGCTTGATACCTGTGCCAAAAGCACTAGGACCAGATTACTATATTTGAGGAGAAAAATGAGAAGTTAACTGTAACAATCTCAAAGTGCAATTTTTCTTTTGAGCTTAAACACAGCTGGCTTTTTAGGCACAGCAAATTCTGTAGATAATATATTTATGAAACAGTCCTGTTCACAGAATAGTGTCTATAATCAAGACATGAAGATACTACTTTTAATTTAGTGCCTCAATTATTTTGATTTGGCTATTGAGTTTTTATAAATTCCAATTTGTTTTGACAGAATGTATATACTGTGTATTTTGTATCTATGGCTTGCGTGTAGCGTAAATACTCCTTGGTTAAGAATGTATATTGGGTTTTTAAAAACTGAAAATACAAATATTTGAAGTCTTCATTTCCTATTTCTGACCAAAGGAGGAGCAAGGCATTTACTGCGTGACATAATTCCTTAAATTGCTTATTTACAGAATCAGATTATTTTAGTTAACAGTGTGAATTTAGAAAGAAACAGGCAAACAACTTTGTCAACTATAGTGCTGGCTTAATGTTGGAGGAGAAGGATGATCTATTGAATTTGTGTGCTCTTTAAACAATGTTATTTTATGATGACAAAATAAAAAGAATGCTTCCCTAACTATATTTTATAACACCTTGTTCTGTTTTGCGTTTAGTAGCATGGTATTTAACATGCATCCATTGTTTTCCAAATACTGTTTATCCCATATAAAGAGAAATAAAAAAAAAACTGCAAGGCCTGATTCTCCCCCCATTTAATAAGGCAGAATAACAGCCTTAGTAACAATTACAGTTGTGCTAATTTTGACCATCCAAGGATTATGTAATAATGTGATGACATGTTAAATATTTCCTGTGTACTGTGTTGATTGCTTATGTAATGATCCTTATGGTAATGTTTCTTCACAAAGGAACTCCACTGAAGTTCACTTTGCATGGTACTAATTTAAGTCATTTGCAATCCTCAATATTTAATATTACCAAATAGATCTCAGGTTTCTTTTAAAAAAAAAGTAATCTGTGTAATTTGTGTCCTCTTAAAAAAAAAAAAAAAAAAGTGTTCCTGCATCTCTATTTTGCTGTGTTGGAAATAAAAATATCAACCATGACAAGGTAATACAAAGGGCTCTCTTTGATCCGTGATGGACAAATTTCTGTATCAAAACTGTAATTTCACAGCTTTATAGACTGCATAAGTTGACATTTTAGTAATTTGTTTTTATTAGTCATTGCTGATGCAAAATGCATGTTTAAACTCCAACTCTACCACAAACAGTTAGCTTCTTCAGCCTGTTTCTCTGGCTGATGCTCCTATTGGTTTTGAACTTTTAGCCTTCTGTGGAAGTTCTGGTGGTGCAAGAAAGAGCTGCAGAATTATACTAAACCAATTACACTGGCAGCATACTGAAACCTAACTCACATTAGAATTTTTATTACTATGTCATAACAAATGATAGGTACTTCATTTTTACTATCTGGAGTGCTTTGAGAATGTTCATGCCATGTTAAAAAAATGCATGTTAGCAGGGTATAAGAAAAAAATGCATATTAACAGTATAATTGTATTTTGACTTTGGAATCTTGGATGATAACATGGTCTCTATCTTTTTCATGGCTAGATATATATATTTTTTAACAGGACTATCAAACTATTTGTGTTTGAAAACTTAAAACTAAGCCCTGAGAATTCACGTGTACCTACATCAGATGTTAAGGGCAAGCACACATACTAGGTTACTATGCTGTCAAAGAGCTTAAAAGCTTAGTTCCTCTTCGCATAGTTATTCAGTATGGATGCGTGCATTTGAAATGACTAGGACTATTGCTTGAGAGGATGCAAGAAGATTCTACTTGATCTCCAGTTGTGATTATACCTCCCATATGAGAACACAGGTCTCCAAGCATCTTAGTTTCCTCTATACTAACATTCTGTGAAATCTCTAGTTGCAACTTTACCTGTTCCTCTCTTCAAACTTGGCATGCGTGTAATAGGCGGCATAGATATACTCTTAACATAGCATGCATTTTATATGCAATTGCAGATTTGCACCTTTTAATTTCAAAGTATCTTTAGGTTCACCTTTTGCATATGCTATGCAAAGAAACATGCAAACAGCTCTGAAATGGTTCTGATAGTTTTGTTGTAACTTTGCATTCAATGAACTTGTATTTTTAGATCAGGTATGTGTGTAAATACAAGATGTATTTTATAAAAATTTTGAATTAAACTTGTTTATAGAATGTATAAAGCTTATTTATATTTACTGAATAACACATTCCTATACATGTCATCAATCTCATGCTCTGAGGCTGTAAATAAATTCTTGGGATAATAAGTGTATAACTTGTTTCTCATGCATGGCAGCTTACAACATGTCTGATAGAAAGTTCATTTTCCAAGCTGAAGCACCTGAGCCCCCAATCAACACATGTACTATGTACCTTTAAAATGAGGCATTCTTTTTAGATGACCTTCTGTATATAGCAGATAGACATGTACATGTCTTATTTTTTCCCCGCTCTTCTATCCACCAGCCAGCCATTCTCCTGTTTATCAGAAGAATTTTACCTACTTGAAAAGTTATGAGGGCAGTTGCTTTGACTTGGAGACAACATACAGCTTGACTTCTGCTTTAAGTTTTGTTACTGCCCTTACCAGTCCTCACCATTTCACAAAAGTAGTGAGGGTAGCTTAAAAGCTACTTATTTTGCTTTCAAGATGATTTTCTTTAGCCTGTCTCACATGCACATGTACTTTTTGTATTTCTTTACACAGTCACATGAAAGATTTTCTTAACTCATTTTCCTGACACAGAAACCTGTGCTAATTTGGGTCCTAATAAAAAAGAGGAAAAAAAACCTCTTCTGTAGAAGGTTGCATTATATTTGAAACTGTCAATTATACTTAAAATCATCAGTAGGCTAAAAGCTTTCTCAAATGCATTAGCCATACATGTCATTTAAAACACAGCTAGAAAATGCCTAGAAGTAGTCTTATCTGTGCAAGCTACCTTTGGTATTCCAGTGGGTGGAAAGGGAAAGATAATTTTACAACAGAATACAGGAGGTTTTATTATACTTCTGTAATTTTTTAAGCACAGAAAACTATGCTTTAAAATTAAATACTTTCATGGGTAGCATGACTCCATCCTTTTCTTTTGGGGGGGGGGGAAGGGAAGCATTTATGTTGCATTTAAACACAGCTGCAGCTACTAAAAAAACCCCAGAAACTCACACCCACAACAACCACCAAAAAACCCTCAGCCAGTAACCTTGATAAGGAGATTTCTTTTTTATTCTGAAATGAAGCTGTTAGAGAATAGCACTTTGCCACCTTCAGTTGGTACCCACCGGAGACAACTTACAAAACAGCTCTCTTACAGCACTCTTCAAATAGAAAACCAGTCGCAAGAGTCACAGTATTCCAACCCTTATTTTACTGCAGTGAAAGCACTCACATATCCTAGCTTATTAACAACCCCTTCTGTCTGAAGCGTTGATTACACCATAAGGAAGAGCATTTGTAACAAATGCTGAAGCAAAGGCCATAGCTAACCGACCACACTCAAAGCCTGGAAGGAAAAAAAAAAACCCTGAACGGAGCAACTACCTCGACTTTTAACGTAGGACCAGCAGTTAAACGTGAGGCAGTAACGGCGGCGCCAGGCGGGGCCGCTACCCGGCCGGCACCAGGGCTGCTAACTGCCGGCCACGGGAGCTGGGGCAGCCCG